GAAAGGTGCAAGCTTACATGAATGACATTGCTTAATTGACCCTATTGGATTATAATTATCACCCGGTCGATTTTACAAAACAAATCTTTTTTGTTGGCGTTCTAATCTAAGTAATGATGACATAATTTCTTTATAGAGGCCAGGTCTGAAAACGGGTAGAGATTTTAGAGGCCAGGGGCCGGTTTCTCGAAAGTCGCGATAATTAACGGTCCCGGTAAGCTGCCTCCGGTTACATTAAAGATCGAGGTTTCAATGGTTAATGTCGTCTGTTTACTGGGTACGGTTTGCTGAGTGGTTAACGGGCTCGTTGGACACTGAGTCCCGTTTCAAACGTCGTGCTACTGCCTTGGCGAACTCAATTGATCGAATTAAATTCGACTTTAGCACTGCAGTAGCGCGACGTTTGAAACCAAGTCGTGCTACACGGCAGTAGCTCCACTTGGTTTCAAACGTCGTGCTACCGCCGTGCCGAACTCAATTCATGAATTATAAATACATTAGAATATGTTTAAAAGTTTGCTAAACCGTTTCTTTATTTTTGTGTTTTGTTTTTGGCAACAGCCGTTCCATTCGACTGTCATTGTGTGAATTAAATTCGACGTCTGAAACTAATATCGTGCTGCAGTCGAGCTACAGTCGAGCCAGCTTAGCATGGCAGTAGCACGACGTTTGAAACAGGCCTAAGTCTCGGGGATATGAAAGATACCGGGTCCTTTTTATTATTGTCGTGCGCTTTCTAATAAACGGGTCCGGTTATAAGAAGCCGGGCTCGGTTGCTCAGAAACGTAAAATGATCCTAATGACAAATAAAACTATCAGTTAATGAAACAAAATGGGGTATTTAGATGGCCAGGACCCGCGCTCTTATTCTTTATATTTCGATTTGAATATTTGATTTTGGGCCCGAAAAGTTAGCGGGGCGTTCTAGAAGTGAGCCGCAGGCACCAGTTGTTCAAAAGTTGGATAGCGCTACCTACCTGATAAATCACTATCCAGCGCATCGAGTAACTGATTTCTATAATACTTTTCCGTGATTTATCCGGTGGATAGCGCTATCTAACGTTTGAACAACCGGGACCAGGTCTGAAAACGGGTGTGTAAAATGACATTTTTTGGTCTGAAATAGGATGAGGATTTTGAAGAACAGGGCAGCACACCCCCATAAAGAATTCCCAGGAGTAACCCCCGGGCCCCTGTTTAAGACAGAAATTGTTAGTTTCGCTACTATGTTTAAAGAGACATTTCATGACCCTGAAAACCATACCCTATTCCGCAGCACATACCTGCCTAGGCCAAATAAGAAAGTGTGCCCCCGGGAGATGAGATAGATATTCAGTTATTTGCAAAATAAATAAAATAAAAGCTATAATAATTCAATGCAACACGTGAACGTGCAAGTACGAAAATGTGAAACTGGTGTTACTAGTTTTTCACTCGTTTCCATCCTCCAGAATAACCTTTTCCTCTATGAAATATTCAAGAGTCTTCAAAATTTTATGGGAAAAAAAGGTGACTTGCGATTTTTCGCAATTTTCGCAACTGGCTTTAGAAAAATTGCCAACCTTGCGATTTTTTCGCAAAAAAAAAAAGAAAAATTGCAAATTTTGAAGCTGCGTGCAAACCTGGACATAAGTGACATTAGAAAGTTTATGCTTGACGTATACGGCCGAACGGCAAACGTGAGATTCAAGTTGAGAAATTTTCAAAATGAGAAAAAAAGCAGCTAAAAACAGCTTAAAACAATTCTTATGGATAGAATTAGCGTGAATCTATCGAATTTTCGTGTAGTTATAATGAACAGTAAACGACAAGTTACGTGGTCACGTGGTACAAATTCCCGTTTGTCCGCAGGAACTGTAGCCCATTGCCTATACTGCTGTTACACCAGGGTAGATTGGCTGGTCAGAACGTTTTTTTATATACAAATTTACGGTGACACGAAAGCTAACCATTTTATATTAGCTTAATATTTCTAGTTAGGGATTAACCACAATCTCTATTCCAAGCGCTTGACCCTAATCACCTATAGCGATGCTTTGCCCGAATCACGGCTTTCAGTACTTTAACCCTCGTGGCCATAGTCAGTGCTTACCCCTTAACACTATAAAGACAAAAGTCAACGAGCGCCCTTCTGGTTAACGAATTATTTTGCGTAGGCACAAGAGAGAATGAGCTAGGCATCATAAGGTGTCCATCGTTATTCGAGTGCTTGCCTGTTTGCCATTACGCCCAGAATTCACTAACAATTTACTCACAGTGGTGAAGTAAAAGCCAAAGCACTACTACTAACAGATAAAGCTGCAATATCTCCTTTTATCTTTAAAACACTTCGCGGGTATTTCGCCTCTGAGCCAATGACTTTACCGGAAATGGACCACGTGATTTCTTTGTGCAGTGCATGCGCAGATATTTTTCGCCAGTTAACTGCGGGGTTGTGCGGTGTTGTATCACCCATAATCATCAACCATAAATGTAATAAAAGTCAACTATAAATGTAATACCCACCATAAATGTAATACAAATCAACCATAAATGTAATAATTACTGACAATGAAATTTTGGGGGGCTTTAAAGAAGAAGAGAAGCTACAAACTTTTATGTAAGCTTTTCAATTTTATTACTTCTACATTCATTTTCAAAAAATACATTTCACTTTCAAATTAGAATTTGTCAGATATGCGAACTATATCAATAAAATCTTGCTTGGATGCTAAGTATGAAATTTGTGACATGTCATACATTTATACTTCGATATGAGCTGAGAATTTTACTTCTCGGACAGCGTATCAGCGAAGCTGGAGTAACGCAAATTGCAAATNAACAATAATAGAGGGAAGGAGAGGTTGACGTGGCGGGGGGGGTGGGGGGGGGGGGGAGGGGGGGGGGACGTAGCTACGTAAACAAGTTGGCGATACCATTGACGAAAGCCCTTTACTTTCTGTTTGAAAAATTTTGAGGTTTCCTTTCTCCTCAAGGGAAATTAAGTCGACAAGCCGCGAAAGAGTAGGAGATATTTTCTCACGTTCTCGGAGCTTTGCGGAATATTGTGACAGGTAATCTCGGGTCTATTGTTTCTATTACTGAAAGTCGTTTAGGAAGTGGTGTTGAAGCAGTTCATGAGCCGTAGGGCGCAAGTCCGGGTCCCTGCAATTATAAACAGATGGCTTATTAATAAAGGTGAAAAATCATTAGTGATATATTAATGCACCCGGGAAAAATACATTTCAAAGTTTTCTTTAACATAGGCCAAACTTGGAAGAGTATGAGAGTCGGTTAACATTGTAAACTTTGTGGGCCTACCTGAAGTTCTTTCTATCATAAAACATAGAAAAATACCTGGTCAAACACTTGTTCACGAAGTCCCGAGCGCCTTCCGAGAAATCTTCGGAAAGTTGCGGAATCGCCAATGAGCCACTTCCGATGGCAAAGATAGCGGCCATTGGAGGCATATCAGACCTGAAAAGCAAAATAAGAGCCTTGATAAATATTTTGGTGTAATTTCTTCTTCTAATTAAAAAAGGTCTCTTATCACACTCTTAAAATATCAAATTACGCCAGTATAACAGAATACAGTTGTTTCTACTTACGATTGTCTTACACTACCACATTTCTACATTTTAACAATTTACACTTCTCGACTCGAAACTTTGGTACCGAAACTCGAAAGTCTCGTCTCGAGACCCAAGATTTGAAAATTTCGGGTTTGAAGTCTCGAGTCTCGAGTCTCCAGACACGAGTGACAACAAGCTTGCTTCCAAGCGGTACTGTATGTTCAAGTGTTAAGTCTTTCTCTAATACTTATTACCGGAAATCTTTGATGGTAGGCTCGCAATTGACGACTTACCATGGAGGTTTTGCGGTAGCCATTTCAAAAACTGTGCATCCAACACTCCTGATAAAAAATAAATAGATTAACTGTAAATAATCATCAACACGTAGAAACCAATAAATGCCATAAACACAATAGACTTTAAAACACCAGGGTGACAAGAAAAAAATTTCACTGACCAGATATCTGACTTCCGGCCGTGTCCAGTCTCCCGGATGACCTCGGGCGCCATCCAGTAGGGAGTGCCTTTCATGGACCGAAGAATATTGCTCTGACTCATACTAAGGTTCTGAAACAAATTTACAAACACGTGAGGTCGCAAAAAAGGCTTTTAATACGTGATATAAAAAAATAATGCGGGAACATAAATATCAACAGATATCCCTCTTGCGTCCCAGCAGCAGAAGCATTAAGCGGCGGCCGAATTCGTGAAGGTCAGGTTTGACATCCAGCCACATTGTTATCGGAGATGGGAGCTGACTTCCTTCGTGCGTTCCTTTTCTCTCCCCTGCCCCCGCGGGTTTTTTTGCATCAAATCATTTTTCACGATCTCTGCAAATTACTATATTGGAGCGGGAGCCCATAACTCGGGCAAGAAACTTTTTGTGCCAATGAAACGGTGTTTTCACAGATCACTTTATTTTAACAGCGATTTTCTCGCGAATTTTGACCATCAAATAAGTCTTATAAATCAGGCAGCAAAAACTGGAGGCTAGGAAATAGTATTTCTGATGTTTTGATAGTCATTATTGCACTATGTATGCGTACGCATACGGGACGGTGCTTCCATGTTAGCGGGAAAAAGTGCCGCAAAATGATGCTAAATATAAACTGGTCTGCGAAAACGCCGATGGATGGGCTTAGTATGAGAGCTTTTCGCTCCAGGTTATAGGCTCCAGCTTGGAGCCAAGAAAAGGCTAGAATCTTGTCAGTAAAACGCCGACAGGAGGTCAGGGTTAGGTACGTGGTCTATTGTATTGTTGGCGCCTTACTTAACCTCGGATTCACGTAATGAACTTTGCAAACGAAGATGGCTCCCGCTGCTTACTAGGTTGCGTTGCAAACAACGCGGGCATATTTACCTGTAGTGGAAAACCATGCTCTTCTAATTAAAACCTCGTTCCCAGGGTCCTCTCCGACTCGTCTCCCGAGTAGGGAGGACGCTGTAAACGACGTTGATTAAAAGCAAGGAATTACTTTTAAAAGCACAAACGTACCATGTACAAACGTTTAGCGCAACCGAAGTCTATCAGCTTGAGAACACCACTAGGCATAACCATAATGTTCCCACCTTTGATGTCTCTGCAAGATGAAAATAGCACGAGGTTCACAACTTAGTACTTGTTGAATGAAAGGGGAAAAAGACTGATCCTTACAACGCTTTTTTCCGATGTAGATTTCCTATGTAGATTTCTATATTATGGTCAATTTGATATTCAATAAGGTAAGAAGGGCTTCTTGTACCCTTGGCCCTTAAATGAATGATGATGGAGTCTTGTAAGGTGGTTTTTAATGCACGTTTGTATTTTGAACGAGCACTTGTGCTCTTAGACGATAACGTGGGTAAATAAATTATTGATTGATATTAATTATTGACAGTCAAACCCCCGTTTACGGACAGTTTGCTTTGTGCCTCAATACGGACACCCTGTTAATACGGACACTTTCTATGGCCCGCTCAGTGTCCGTATTAACGGGGATCTTCTGTACTAAACTTTGAGTGTATGGACAAGATACTGCGGTATGACCATTCAAATGAAACCTCTCCGGCAGTAATTTCAAAGGGTACAATTTGTTTTTAGCACTTTACAAAATCAAAATTGTAACTTTTCTTGAATTTTCACCTCGGTCCTTTTGGTAGTGAAAGGTGTAGAAGATGTCGAGGAGAGACTTCGGTTTGATCGTTCAAACAAAAACCCCTCTAGTTGTACTTTTCCAAGGTTCATTTTAAGGATTTTTTTACAATTTTCTTTTAAGGGCTTATGAAAATAGCGCTGTTATTAAAATTGGCGCTATTCAAGTTTACCATAATCATTATTACTATGATTTATTCTATTTTTATGACGTTGTACATTTCACTTTTCATGAAGATCTGCGTAGAAAGCGGAAAACAAAAATGCCTTAAAAATGCCGCTTTAAATCTTAAAGCGGGTGCCATGTAAGGATTAAGTAACAGTTCAGTTGAAACTAGCTGTGAATTTACTAACCTATGAATAACGTTGTTGTTATGAAGATAGGACACGCCTGACAACAGCTGCTTAGTATAGCGACGGAAAACAGACTCATCAAGACATCCAAACCTAAGAGACAGTGAAACAGTCACATTAAATACACAGTTGATCCTTCAATTGCCTTATTCACTTGAAAGATACGACGAGTTTTGGCTATACACAGGCCGCGAAAGGCGTAGGGTATGGTAAGGTAGCGTAAGATGTGTCTCAGAATTTTTCCGTAAATTCACATTTGTTGAAATTTGTCTCATTAGGTAATGATTTACGTAATAATTTGTTATCAAATCATGCTGATAACACTTGATTGACTATAGTAATCATTGCATTGCATTATCATTGTTATGATTTGTTTGTTTGTTTGTTTTTGGTTGTTGTTTTTTGTTTGTTTGTTTTTTTATGTTAAAGCTTTTGCAATACTGTAACTACATAATTATAGTCATGCAAATAAAACTTATGTTGTTGTTGTTGTTGTCTCACATGTAAAAAAAGCTTCGTTCAATCAGAAGCCGCAAATTATCCCTTTCTTATACTGTAGCAGTGCATGGGTTTCCCAACCTTTTCTACTCTGCTAGTAAAGGTTCCAGTCCGGCATGGTTTTCACCATTTAGGAAGTCATTCGCGTTACTGACATTCGCGTAGTTGGCTTGTCTGCGTGTAAACGAGCAGACTACGGGAATTACAGCTCGCACGGACGGCACGGTACCGTTTACATAGGCCATAAACGCTTAAGTTTGCATGAGTTTACTATTTTAAACGGAGTAGCGCAGCGTGGATATAGACTGAATAAACAACACACTACCGCGTTTGTTTTGGAACCTTACCGTGCAAGTATAGAGGCAATGGAACCGCCGGGCACGTACTCCATAAAGATGTTTACCACACCTCCATCTAAACAAGTGCCAATGAACCTAAAAACAGTCGAACAAAACAGGAATATGAAAATGGTCACAAAACTTGCTATAAAACATTAGCTTCGTACCAGTCTGATCATCCCGATGACAAGGTACGGCACTGGTGTGGAACGAAGTTTTTACGGGACTTAAAAAACGGAACTTCTCGATCTATGGCCGTGACTAAATTGCGAGAAGAAAGATGTTAACTAAATTGTGCTTTAATGTGATAAGCAATACCCAGCAAAATGCTTAGATTATGTATATGTGCTTGCGTGAAGCCTGGCGGATTGCGTTTTGTATAGTTAACCACCTCCTTGATTCAAGAACTTGTAAGGATCTTGACCAGGGAAAGAAATCTACCTCGCTCAGAATAAGGCTGAAAAAAAAAACAGTTCTATACTTACTTGACTATGTTATTGTGTTTCAGAGATTTCAGCAGGAACACTTCTTCCTGAAGTTTTTCGTATTGCTAAAAAAAAGTTAAAGAAGAGAAAACTACAGCGACCACTCATAAAATGCAATATTTGCTAAGGCTAAAATATGCAGGTAAGCTGTTCTGACACTGAGCGGAACAACAAAATGGGAATTTATCGGGTCCTATTGATACATTTGTTTTATGTACGATAATTAGCCTGTCTGACCTCATTAGCACGTGCAAAATAAAAAAGAATTGTTACTTTCAAACGAGACCAAAAAGGTTCATTTATATATGTTGTAGTTAATTTTTTATCTCAGGTAATTTTTATTTTTCTTTTGTTTTTGGGTATGATAATGTATGCTAATGATGTTTAAACAAAAGAAAAAGAAAAATTACCTGAGATAAAAAATTAACTACAACATATACATGTGAAAGAATAAATAATGGGCCGCAATTATGAACTGAGTGGTTTATACTAATACAGCGCAGAAGTTGAGGCGCAAGTTCAGTACATGGTCTCAGCTCGGTGTTCATTTTGAATGAGAGAATCGTTGAAAATCGGTTATATTAGATTCTGTATCAGGGTTCTCATTAATTTTTCAAGTAGACAGCTAGGATGTTAAAGAAGGCGGTTTGGTAACTGAGTGCTGTAGGCAACTTCAGGCTTTCACTCTCTCACTTTACCCTATTTCCCCAAAAAGTATATGGCTCAAACCTCCAAGTAGTGGGCTTTTTAGCCGGCTGCCGGCACTTAATGAGAACCCTGTGTATGGTTAAATACCTTTTCAGCTTCGTCCCAGTTGCTGTGATTGAGTTCAACTTGTTTTACTGCGATCATCTCTCCTGTGTTAGTGAGACCGCACCAAACCTGTAAAAAATGGGCGCCACACAAACGTTCAATTTACACAATACGAGATCACGAAAAATTCAGGATGAACAGGTTGCAGACAAGGTGTTCTTAAACATTGCGATCAAAAAATAAAAAGGAGGAGGCTCAGGAAAGAACCAGCAACAATGAACAAACAATCGGGTGGCCACTAACGGGGTTGTCTGCTCCATAGCCGTTTTTGGGTCGTTACGCAACGCTTTGTGAGGAGGAGCGTTGCGTGACGAGACAAAGAACGGCTGTGAAGCAGACTATATTAAGGGTTGACAGTAATGAATACACAGGGGGTTTTTCGACTTCAAACTTTTTTACGATTGGTGGTAATCAAAACGTCTACTCACCGTTCCAAATGCTCCTTTTCCCAACAAGTTCCCTTTCTTCCAAACAATTTCTTCTTCACAGCTGTCCGAGGACAGCTGGCTCCGAGCAGACGCACTGAGTCGACTCCGAACGACGTTCTCAGACATAACACTAGAAAAGCTACCCATTGAACTCTGGGAAATATTACCCACACTCCCAAGTGATGCGTTAGACTGCGTTCGAATAGTAGAGCTGTTGCTACTACTCCTGCTGGCACCAGACTTTTCACTAGCCATGCGCTCGTAGTAATCGATTTCCACGGAGTTGTCAGAGCGCATGTCTCTGTCAGGTGTGGGCGTGTCCGTGCAGGAGGAGTCACGTGGTGAGTTGAAGTAAGTGTCGCTGCTGTTTAGCGAGGAGGCTGGCGAGAGAGGGCGAGGTGATTCCGAGTCACAACTATTGTACGATGAGTCCGTATCGGAAAACTGTTCCGAGTATGAGCTCGAACTTAGCTCCGAAGATGCTCGGGAACCAAAAGACTGTCGTTCGGCTTCTTCACTCGGGAAAATTATGTCTGATTCGGTAACTGGGTTAGATGAAAAGTCTCTTGAGTGTTGGTAGCTTAAAACCCATTGTTCACCGTCCTGTGAGAGGCTGGAGCTCGCTTCGCTTGTTATGTTCGTCAAGGAATCGTCGGTGATGATGTGACTTTCTAACTCAGCACGCTCATCAGATGAGGTTACCCTAACTTCCATACCTTCTCGTAAACCAAGTCCACGCTGCACAATCTCTTCCATGACGTCATCAGCTTCATCTTGTATAACCTGCTTAACCTGTATGTCATAATTATCACTTGTATCAATGGTTTCAGCCAGTGCATGCTGTTGATCCTGAACTGCATCCTTATTAGAACGCGTAACAGGCGGCTCACTACAATCGTCATCGGACCCAGAAACTGTCTTCGATTTTCCAAAAGACAGCCGGGGTACACACATCCCAATTTCCATTAATTTACCCATAATTCCTCCATCTACTTCATCAAACTCTTCTCTCATAGCTTCTCCTTCGCAAGTGTCCAAGACCTTTTCATCCGTACCTCCTAACGCGAGGTTTTCGACCGCATTTCCCTCCGGGCTCCCTTTATTACTCTCTGTTACAATCTTGGAAGTATCACTGACCCGTGGGGTGCTTGCCTTGCTCCGCGGGGACTCCGGTATTGGGCTCAAGATAGTGTGTTTTCCTTTAAGCGTCCGACTGTTAAAAGGCCGAAACGTGGAAAGATAGTCCATTGACAAGGTAGGGGGTACCGGCACATCCTCCGGCATTTCAAAACCCCCCTGGGAAATAGTCTTAAGTCCAAGCTCTTCCCTGACTTCCCTTTGCTGTACAGTTATCATTTTCACGTCGTCTTTCTTCTTTCCTTTGCCTTTCTTCTTCCCTCCCTTGCCGTTGCTTTCCTGGCCTTTGCTTTTAGTTTTAGGTTTGCCACTTTTTGAGTTCCCCGATGGTTTTGAGCCTCCTTTCTTACCCTTTCTACCAGCTGTTGGTTTTTTATTCCCAATCCTTGTGTCATCTGCAGGTCCGATAGGAGGGTGAACAGCCGACTTGTTTTCAGGGGGTACAGGTGACGGAAAGGGGTTGATAATCCTCACACTATGAGCGCTAGGCTCCTCTATTCTGGGCGTGGTCCATGCTTGTTTGGGTAGAGTAGCATCTAACGATGAATTCAAAGCCGAATTCTCCGTATACCCTTCATCAAGCGCCTCTCGTTCATAAACCTCACCAAAGCCTTTACCACTGCCATCACCATTCTGTCTTCCATCATTGCTTAACAATGCTGTAGTACTCTCTTGATTTGCAGGATTATAAACATCAGGTTCCGAAAAAGATTTGAGAGTTATGTCGGTTTCTTTCCTTGCCTTAAATTTACTTTTAGACGGAGAGAAAACGGGCGTAGAAGAAGAAGCAGAAGCAGAGATATCTCCTGGTCGAGTGGCAAGCGTGGAATCTACCAATGAGCTTGCTTCACCAACAGTCTTTACAACATCCACTGATGCAGAACTAGTCCTTGATGCCGCGATGTCAATTGAATGGTTTGAAGACGAGGACGTATCAGTTTTACTTGATTGTTCAGCAGGAAATGATGAAGTAAGCAAGTCCTTCTTCACAATTGTACAAGAGCAAACGCCTGTAGTATTATCACATACACACGAAACGTTAAAACCTGTCATGTCTGAAGGAAACGAATGAAGCCGCGGTTGAGAAGATGCTGAAGCCTTACTAGAAGCATTTGCCAACACAACCGCTTTGTTTTCATGTTCCATAACAGAAGTTGAGTTCCTTTTTGTTTGATTTTCCGCCTCGTTGTCTGACATCTGATGAATTTTGCACTGTTCTTTAGTTTCATCATTAGATTTCTTTCTGCTGTCTGTTTTCGTGGCTTCATCTCCACTTTCGCCTTTCAAAGTTTTTAATGCCGAAGCTTTTCTTTTATCGGTAAAAGGAATCCAGAAAACATCTTCACTTGATCTACGACGAGGTTGACAAGACTTACAAAACTCTTTACCCGGAGACGACTCGTTGGAGTCTCTCCGTCCCGCGCGTTTTTCCTCGGGAAGGGATTCACCGCACAACGAACAGCTACCCGAGGCAAGAGCCTCTAGGTTTTTAAGATCGATGTAAAATTGTGTCCCGTTTGATGATGAATCCCTTTTCATTTTTTCACTGGATTCTGTGTTAATATCACTGCTACTATCATCCGCGGGAATCCAAAACATGGAGCGTGAAACTGACGCAAAGGTGTCTGTCATATTGCCTCCCTCGCCAGTTTGCGTCTGGTTAGATTCCAGTTCTCCTTCTCCTTGGCTCGTATTAGACGCACGTGAAGACCCACGGGGGGAGGGTGGTGGCGGCAAGACTTCCCTCGCTGAAACTACTGCGCCCTGAAGACCATTTTTTCTAAGTAGATCTAAGAAATAATAAATAAGTAAACAAACATGAATAAATAAATAAATAAATATAACAAAAAAGGGATGACAGGAGGATATGTGCTAAGCGCGATTCTGAAAAACCTTTAAAGGCGCTTTGATGTAATTTAATCAAAACTGGGTATTACATTGACTGAGATTAAATACCGCTTAAAACAGTAAAGGAACATTTAAATTACACAGCACATACAAAAAGGGTGCGAATGGACAAAAAAAACGAAGAAGATTCAAACGGATTGCAGTCGGGTTCTTAAGAGAGGCCTCTTACACGTATTTTTGCTAATTTTCCGTCGTCGTTGCTAAAGCTCCCAATTGCCGTATGATATAAAACTAATCGAGGGCTTATACCTAACCTCTCTAGAAGGCAGATCAAGCACTAAAAACATATAAATAAGCGGAACAAGAAGAATTTTCGTACGTACCAAGATCTACGACATCAGCTGCTACAGGTAAGATGGGTTGAGCTATATCTGGTGAAGTGATGGATCTCAACTCTGGGGTCAAAACTCGGTTCACTCCCAAAGGAGGTACTCTTGACGGTACAGCTACTCGGGGGCTTGGGACCTGACTGGTCGATGACGATCTCAGTCGCAAGTCCTTCTCAGGTGTTGCTGGTGGAGAGATCTTGCGTTGATACGTGAGGACTGGGCTTGAAAGTCGATGACGTATGCGATAATTAGGCGGAAGGGGTAAATGGTAGGGACGGTTTTTATTCCGCGACTCTGGTTTTTCTCCACGTAAATTTCTAAGGAAAGAAAAGCAGCAACTTAAACAGAGGGACAAGGTCTATACAATTTAACAAGAAATAAAAGGAGAGCATAATACAGTCAATCCTTTCAAACACGAAGCTACATTAAGTGGGTACCCTTCATGATGTTGTCACATCCTTAAGGCCCGGAAATCGTTCCCGTAGACACTTAATTACTCCTCAAAGATGGAGATTGACTGTTTATTTACTCTGTTTGTCTTTACAAAGGGTGGTGTCCTGCCTGTCTCCTGATAGAAGGATATGTCGAAGAGAAAGAAACAAAACCAAAACAACACACTAGAAGCTGACTGGCTAAAATGCTTCAACACATGAGATAAGAGAAAATATCTTCTATTTACCTGACATATCTTAGCTCGATGTTGAGAACAGACAAACTTGGTAAGGCCCCTGAAGTCACTTGGGCATCTCTTGCACTTGAAACTGAAATTACCAACAGCAAATAGTTCTAAAAGCTCGCTATTAGGACAATCTTTCCTCAAACAATTAACAAAGCTTCGCCATCAAGAAAAATACGTTTGTATTTTATTGAAATACGGAACTCACCCAGAAATTGTTCCCTGGACTGCTCTCGGAAAACTAAACCAGAAGAAGACCGGGAACCTGAGTTCGAGTTTGTTGTGGAAACTGATGGAATTCTTGGCATGCGAACATCAGAAATCTTTCTTGAGGGAAGAATGTTTTTCCTGGTAAAAAAAAAGCAACAATTGCCCGAGCATAATATAAGTAAGGCAGTATCATTGACACCAAACCGAGCATTATTAGTATGAAATCAAGGATAGTTTTATGCGTGCCTACTTCCTTTTTCGTCGCGCGTGGAACAAAAACTGTAGACGTTTGTACACAGGCTAGGAAGCCTGCGAAACTTGCGTAACTTTTATAAATTCGGCTCAGGTTATTGCGATGCACAAGGATAGCGTTATTCGCCTGTCTCGTCGCTCGTTCTCTGCGCTCTCCTAGAATATGCAATAATAATAATAATAATAATAATAATAATAATAATAATAATAATAATAATAATAATGCGGCTGTTCTGCATGCTATCACTATACATACCTTTCTTCAAGTGCGGAAAAGTCTCGTAATGAATTTTGAGATGACCTTTTTTTAACACTTTCTGTGGAAAACAAGAGAGCGAACGATTCAAACCTTCAAAGAGAAAATATCACAAGTTATAACTGCACCCAATAAATCTAGATAAGAGTAAGAGTTTAGAAAAGCGCATATATATAATTTGGATCTTTTGCAACTTTTCTTTTCTTTTTTCACTTACTTTCTACTCCTTGGAGTGGGGCAGTGTTGAGTCGAGTAATAGTAGATTCCTATAAAATAATGACAATCAATGTTGTCAAGATCATGTGACCACTCTTGAGACCAAAGAAAATCATTGTTGGAAATAGGATGCAGAGGAGCCAACAATAGAGACCTTTAGATTCTAAGAGGCGGACGACTACGAGCACGAGATTTTCTAAACACTATATAAGTAGTGCGCGAGCGTGAACTAGTGTCAATTTCCCGGAAAAAAGCGATAGCCGCCGTCATTCTAAACAGGAAGTTTAAGGCGAAAACATCTCTATCGCGATATTTTTTCCAACTCGCCTACTTTGTCAAATACAAGCGAAATCTTCTAGAGCTGAATTTATAAGAACCATAACCAATTTCACTTCCTGTATAAAACGTGAAACTAGACATTTTCACATCGTAGTCGTGCAGTGACGGCAAAGAAATGTACAAAAGAGCGTTCTGCACGTGCAGAGTTGTTGTTTTACCTATTCAACCAATGCTTTTTTGACGTTCACGTCGCTTAGACGGGTCCGGACAATTTTCTTACCTGTGTGACCCCGTTTACACGGAAACGAGCAAATTAACACACTTTCTCGGTCAAAAAATCTGCACGGTTCCGTAGGTCTCGTGTAAAGGAAAGGCGGATCCGTGCAAGTTTTTGCCCGTTCAAAAATTTGTCCAGACCCGTGTAAACGGGGTCTTTAACTTCCTAATGTCGTAGTGGAGGGAAACAAGTTCTCAAAAGTTGAAACTTTTATCATTCGCGATCAGGAGAGGGGTTAGCCTCCTTCAGTTAGATACTCTTGAAAACTTCTCTGGTGAAAAAAATAAAATGAAGCTTTCCGGGGTGTCTGTTTTTGGAGAATGCGCGATAAAACCTCGTCAATTCTCGTCCGGTAGTCGTCTTGTCCAGCTCGAATCTAAAAGCCTCTAATAAAAACTGCTTGTTAGAACCACCTCAGATACTTGCTGTGTTACTGCAGTCCGGGTGTTTGGCTCAGTCAGGTCTTGCTGATCAGCAGGTTGCACAGGAGCTGTTTAAAATAAAACATCTATGGTTTATGCCATGCACACAACAAGGATGATGATAACGATTACAATCGCTTGCTGATAAAAAATTTATTCCAGATATTTTCCATCCTTTTTAATTTGTTTATTTCCTTCATTGCCACATCTACAAAGCATACAAACTTGTACTTTACCTGAAAAGATTCTCTTTGATTTAAAATACTTGGTTTGTTCTGCCCAAGCATCTACAAGTAAAAAAGCAAACTTTTACCAAGGAGCAGACTGTATCAGGGGCGGATCCAGGATTTTTTTTAGGAGGGGGTGCACTCGTGTCTTGCTCTACTTCAACACCAATAAACCACTTTTTTTTTTTTTACAGAATACCAGTTGTATTAGAAAACCGCAGGTCATCTCAGGGGGGAGGGGGGTGCGCACCCCCTGCACCCTCCCCCTAGATCCACCCCTGTGTATGAAACTAAAATTCATGAACACATATAAATAAGACACCATTAAATGAACAAACACTGAAAGCCCAGAAGAAAATAAAAAAGAAAAAAACTTGACGAAAGTTACAGCTCTCTCAAATAACTCCATATTAGAAGAAGTTACATGTTGTCTTGTAAGGTAGGTTTTTATCACATACTGTATCAAAGTATATCAACACACCTCTAAGCACTGTCTGTACTCTTCTTCCCCTAGCTACATCCACGGGTGAGAGACCTAAACAAAAAGAAAAAAAAAACAGAAACATTATTAGTACCAGTACGCCTACACATGTACTAATAATAATCATCAGCAATGGATTAATTGGCAAGGCAAAGTTTCAAATCCACTCGTGTAGATCTAAGTACCATACATTATTATGTTAACCATTAGCCCACCACGTCAGACATCCACCCATTACACACAGTACAGCTGAAAGGCAAGTTACCAGTCTCCTTTCATTTCTCGCCAGACACGCGGAGACAAGACAAGTATCTCATCTTGAGAGAAGAGAGTCTGACATCTCGAGGGAATCACTGAAGCGACAATTTTGCATTAAATTACAAGTGAAACTCAATTTCCCTGATTTCTGCACACACAGCTGTACATACCATTGTCATCAGTGATTGTCACATCAGCACCATGATCCAGCAAGGTTCCAGATGATTTTTCATATCCATGGGAAGCCTGTTCAATAAAATGAATTTATTAAAAGTTTACGTATTAGTAAACACTGAGGCAGAATTCTTCTGGCTACATTCAGATATCCATTTTTTGTTAAACCAGTCAATACAGATCATAACTCGAAAATACTATGTTGACATTTTATTTTGCTGGAGATTTTTTCTAAGTGAAAAAATATTTTCTTGGTGCTGGCAGGGTTTAGGGTAATCACAAGGAGTGATATTCCCAATGTGTAGCCTGCAACATTCCATTGGAACACATTTCCCTTTAGCAAACTCATGACTGTATTTTAAACCAAAAATTCTGCTGGATAAAAGTTATCCAAACCTATTGAGTTTGAACGATTTTTCTGTGGGTGGCTGACGTTCACAAGATGTTAATTCTCTCATTGGTTTCTCATGTTTTTCCTTTTTAACTGGATTTTTTTTCAAATCATAATAAACACAATTCAAAAGGCAACAGCTATACCCTAGTAATTGTACCATACACACAACCCTCACTTACAGCTATATGGAGAGGAGTCTTTCCAACATAACCTTTAGCATTAACATTAGCTCCCCCCTTGATAAGAGCCAATAGAATAGGCTGATTGTCTTCTTTGGTTGCCCAGTGCAGGGGGGAGTTGCTAAACCTGTCTGGTACATCTGCAAACCAGTAACATATGCAATTAATAATAATTTCAGTCAAATTATCCACAGGTACAGTTGTAAGCCTTTAGAACATATCAATGTTTCCAGCATGTACAGAACCTTAATTGGAAACTCTCTCTAAAATAAAATAAAAAATCTAATTGTACTGACTCAAGCATTTTTAATGTTCAAAAAATGCCTGATTTAAGGGTAACTATAAATTAAGCATGTGACATGCATATAGGAATTTCTAACAACAACTGAAAACTGAAGAAGCTCTTGACTGCATGCACCTTGTGCATTGTCACATTAGTCTCTAAAAATGCTACCATCCCCCACCCCCAAAGTGCCCCTCTCCGGCCCTGGGAGTAAAACTCACCAATATCACTTGACGCCTTTTCAATGAGCATCTCAACAACATTCTTAGCATGGCTTCCTTTACAGTGCGCTGCTAAATGAAGTGGCCTCTTCCCCTCAGTGTCTCTAGCTCCACAGTCACTGCAGGAACCAAAAGTTCACCAAAATTAATACAAACCATATTAAATCAGCCCTAGAAAGCAACAGAATTTAAAGAAATTTTTCAAGTCTGGTGGCAAAGTTATATTTTACAACTTACGCATTGTGTTGAAGCAACTCTTTGACCACCTCTGCTGGATGGTAACCATTATTCAGAACAGCTTTCTCAACTACAAGTGCAATCATGATCATAAAATACTTAGTAATAACAGAATATTACACTGTATATCATGGCAAAAATTATATTATAATATGATCAAATGTTTTTTCATCTCAGAACTTGAACTAATAAGGTCAGAAAACTGGGATACCTTGCAGAAAATATTATTTATTTTTTAAGATAGTTATATTACATCTTTATGGCTACAATACTACACGCACTCTGATTGACATTTTCAAGAGAAAGGAAATTTAGTTCACGTTAGTGGGGAATTCGAGTAATCAAAGTTCAAGTTCTACTGTACTGATAATAAATCACATACTTTTCTCAAAGAGGTTTAAATCCCTGGTAACTAGAAGCAAAGGAGTCAAGCCATCAGCATTCTTACAGTTTACGTCCAACATGGCTGATCTTGATTTTGAAGCCTGAAACATAAGTTGAGATGACTTTGCCTTACTGAACACAATCACGCTGAAAGCATATTCAATAGTTAAGAACAACTTGAAACCTGTNTGACTCAAGCATTTTTAATGTTCAAAAAATGCCTGATTTAAGGGTAACTATAAATTAAGCATGTGACATGCATATAGGAATTTCTAACAACAACTGAAAACTGAAGAAGCTCTTGACTGCATGCACCTTGTGCATTGTCACATTAGTCTCTAAAAATGCTACCATCCCCCACCCCCAAAGTGCCCCTCTCCGACCCTGGGAGTAAAACTCACCAATATCACTTGACGCCTTTTCAATGAGCATCTCAACAACATTCTTAGCATGGCTTCCTTTACAGTGCGCTGCTAAATGAAGTGGCCTCTTCCCCTCAGTGTCTCTAGCTCCACAGTCACTGCAGGAACCAAAAGTTCACCAAAATTAATACAAACCATATTAAATCAGCCCTAGAAAGCAACAGAATTTAAAGAAATTTTTCAAGTCTGGTGGCAAAGTTATATTTTACAACTTACGCATTGTGTTGAAGCAACTCTTTGACCACCTCTGCTGGATGGTAACCATTATTCAGAACAGCTTTCTCAACTACAAGTGCAATCATGATCATAAAATACTTAGTAATAACAGAATATTACACTGTATATCATGGCAAAAATTATATTATAATATGATCAAATGTTTTTTCATCTCAGAACTTGAACTAATAAGGTCAGAAAACTGGGATACCTTGCAGAAAATATTATTTATTTTTTAAGATAGTTATATTACATCTTTATGGCTACAATACTACACGCACTCTGATTGACATTTTCAAGAGAAAGGAAATTTAGTTCACGTTAGTGGGGAATTCGAGTAATCAAAGTTCAAGTTCTACTGTACTGATAATAAATCACATACTTTTCTCAAAGAGGTTTAAATCCCTGGTAACTAGAAGCAAAGGAGTCAAGCCATCAGCATTCTTACAGTTTACGTCCAACATGGCTGATCTTGATTTTGAAGCCTGAAACATAAGTTGAGATGACTTTGCCTTACTGAACACAATCACGCTGAAAGCATATTCAATAGTTAAGAACAACTTGAAACCTGTGTGGGTGAGAATCTTGAATACAAAAATTATTGGTCCCTTACTAGTAACTTCTTTACAAGCTGTGAATTTCCTTGCCAAGCAGCCTGTAGTAAATGACGCGAGGAATACCCTGTACAAAAAGTAAGATAATATTATTCAAACAAGCAGTGTAATGATACATAGAACTACTCATTTATGTGACGGTATATAGTGGTTAGTCAGTAGAATTTCTCCATTGACTGTGAACTGATAACTTTTGCGAAAAGACAATTTATTATGAAATGACACTGTAAATTGACTTTTGCAAAACTGTACATCTATCACAATATTTAATAATTAATTGCCACAACAGTACAGTAATACAACCCATTTTTAAATGTATAATTATGAAGTCACACTATATAAAATACACTTACTTTACATTTACAAGTAGCAGATATTGAACTAAACAAATCCAACTGAACTAACCTTGGCGTGCTACAGAACCTGAAAGTCAATGAAAACATCATAATTACATTTCTATTTAACCCACGACTTTTCATTCAATAATAGCATTAAAACCATTAAAACTAAGCTTACCTTGTATATTACTCAAGCAAGAGGGAATTTCAAAAGACCAATTTTAATATATTAAAATTCATACTTTGCTACGAGGCTTAAGCTTGAGGAAATAGTGTACTGTCGGGGTGCAAAGAAAGTCAGTTTTACAGCCTGCCAGTCGGGCAAACTGTAGCTAGCGTATCTTAGCCCACAAGTCATTTCAACTAACCCAAACCCTTTTTGATTAGCAAGATTGATTACAATCTTTCTGTAATTTGAATTTCCTCCAAAAACAGCACTTGCCCATCGCACAAGTTAAAAACAAAAATCACTAGCCCTGGAGCAAAATCCTATAGTCCCGGGCTATCGGACACGACTTTCTTTGCACACTAGCTGACTGTGGGCATTCACTATCTATTGTCCACTGTCTTCCTTGCCCATGCCGTCTCCAACCAAAAAGATGTTTTAGACTCTTTAACAAACCTAGAAGAAGTGGCCTCATTGAGTCTGGTGCAAAATCCAAAACTGACTGCCCTTTGCTGTTACACAGAGTTATGTCAGCTCCATAGTTCAATAACAATGACACCACCTATACATCAAAAGCATAAAGAAAAACTATAAATCTTTTTTTTCTTTTTTGTTCTCCTTGGAAGTGAATCAAAAACTCCATGAGTCAGAATGTTCAAGCTGAGACCCTACAACAGCCTTTCACGTGAAAAATAAATAAATAAATAATAATAATTATAATAATAATGATCATGATAATAATGATGAAGAATAAAAAATTTTAAAGGCAGTGCAATTGTTCACTGAAACAAAACTGCTACATTATCAGTCAGAGTTTGAAAATGCTTAATACAATATTAGTAAAAGAAGTTCATTGTGGCACACAACACCTAAGTGTGTGCGTGTCCTGGGGCCTGTTGCATTTAAATAAATTTATGTCAGGTTCAACTTCTTAAGTCTGATGTTAAGCCCAGTCAAGCTCATTATTCTAACGCCAGACCTAAGTCCCAGTTCTTCAGTCCGCTGCCTTAAGTTATAGGTTGTCACCTACAATCAACAATTGTGTTCTCAAAAACTAGCAATTCACATCCCTGCCAGAAACAAATTATTTAGTACTATCCATCAGGCTCCGGTTGTTCAAACGTTGGATAGCACTGTCCACCGGATAAATAATTATCAGGCCCCAGTTGTTCAAACGCTGGATAGTGCTATCCACCGGATAAAAGTCTATCCAGTGGATAACGCAATTGGTTTCCCTAATACTTATCCACTGGATAGTGATTTATCCAGTGGATAGCACTATCCAACGTTTGAACAACCGGGGCCTGGCAGATAAGTATTACAGAAATCAATTACGCTATCCGCTGGATAGAGATTTATCCGGTGGGTAGCGCTACCCAACGTTTGAACAACCGGGGCCAGATAAAAAACTATCCACTGTGGTTAAGTATCAGGGAAACCAATTGCACTATCCAGTGGATAGAGATTTATCTGGCTGCATTGGATAGCATTATCCATCTTTTGAACACCTGGAGCCTAGTCCCAGTTGTTCAAAAGCTGGATAGCGCTATCCACGGGATAAATCTCTATCCAGTGAATAAGTATTAGGAAAACCAATTGCGCTATCCCGTGGATAGAGATTTATCTGATGGATTGCACTATCCACCGGATAAATCACTATCCTGTGGACAGAGATTTATCCGGTGGATAGGGCAGTAGTATAAAGACCAATTTATTGCATTATCCACTGGATAGCGCTATCCACCTTTTGAAAAACTGGGGCATAGCACTACCCACTCCACGTTTTAAACAACTGGAGCCAGTATTAATGGCGCTAATAATCTCAAATTTCATCACCTTTTCGTGCTTGTTTACTGCTGCTAACATGACTGCAGTGTAACCGCCTTTGTCTTTAGCATCCACGTTGACAGACTGAGTTTAAAACAGATGCACAAAACAAGCAATTTTAGAATACAGTGTACTTAGACACTTATTCATTAACGAGCGCCTTGAATGTAAAATTTATAAATGCTTGCAAAAGTTTAATTTAGATCAAGCTGGATTAACAAATACCCTAGGTGTTATATATCCTTCCATTGTTAGTGGCCTAGATTTCTATTTTATTTCTGAATGTACTGTATGCTTAGTTTACGTGTATAAACTTACGCTGTTTCTTGACGTTCGAGCCAGAAAGTTTTGAACTCGTTCATAGTCACCATTCTGTATTTAAAAAGATAGAATTAAAGTTAGTCTGATCAAACGTTTCATACAAAAAGGAACAAAAAGTAGCGATAACGAAGCAGCAAACTAAAAGTAATTACGCTAAACGGAAGCGTTACATGATCACTACAGCTGAAACCTCACCTTAGCAGCATTCAGGAAAAGCTCGTTCAAATAGTCGTCGGCCCTGGAAAAATAAAGCAACATCATAAAAAAAAGGAAGTTAGTTAAGATCCAATAAGAGCAGCAAACACAGCAATAGGAAATCCAGATAAATTAGGCAATATCTGATGCACCTTCCATCGTTAAAAAGTCGTAAAGTAGTTTCGTGGTAATGCCGCATAAAGTTCTTGTTTCGTTGAACTCCTCGCAGCGAACAATTTCTCTCAGACAAGTGTCCCTTCGTCATTACAGCGATCGCTAGCGATAAATTTTAACCGCGGTTTGCTCGGGATCCATTGGTGGGAAACCAGCGTGAAAAGAGGCGCTTTTCCCTAATTAATAACATGATATTTTTATCCTGCAAACAACAAAAATTTTGCCTTTCGCTTGGGCTTGAAAATAATTTTCCCATAATTCAACTGTTTATTTTTCTTCACCACCATGGAGATAGCCAATCACAGAGCAGTATCTCAGTAACTGTTTTGGGTTACGTCATTTCGCGGGAAATAACCGTGAAACGCTACAATACACTATCAATTCAAATTGAAATTTTGCTTTTCTTGTCGACTAGTTATTTTTAGGGCGAACCTGTATTGGACGAGTTTACTTGTAAAGTGATGAAACTTTGTAAAAAAAAAAAAAAAAGGCCGCATCGTAAAAATTGGAAACTTGGGAAAACCGGCGTCCGCGCTTCAGCGAACGAGGACGTTATCCCCAGTTCTCCCTCCGTGCTTCCCTGATTGTTCACGCACTTAAAGTGGGGGTATTCTCTCTTGACTACTGTTGTACAAAACCTTCAGGCTGGATTATGCCCGAGTAGATATAGCCGAGATGGCAATAATATTTTGTTTTGTAAAGTATGTAATTATATCCCCACGTAAGGCTCAAAAATGGGAGAAAAATCGTTTGATGAACTTCATCTCCACACATGTAAACAAACTGAGGCCCTACTTCTAAACGTGACTTATCCTACCTCCGCTCCCAGGGTATAAATAAACATCACACACTTATTAAAATTAAATATTTTTCTCTACAGTGTTGACAATTTCGGCAGGAAAATTACTTAGAAGTGAAAATTTGCATGACAAATCTACTATTTTATTTACACCTCGAGACGGATCATATGCATAAATTACTAGCTTATACAAATCTAACCAGACCGTATTTCCTTTTTAAAACCTTAATTTGTCCACTAATGTTCCAAAATACAGTAACTTTTATTGGATTCTGTGCCAATTCATGTTAAGAATTTATCTAACAGAATCGAGTCAAGGTAATTGCACTTCTAGATCGCGTGATGACGAAAGTTAGTGGATATTTATTACGTGCCTTCAGAATGCTGTATCACGTTCTTAAGTGGAAAACACGAAAAAAGAACCTATATTTTAAAAATATTTTATTCCTGAATAAAAAATGTAACATAAACTTCTACAACTTCTATCAGTTTCTTTTAGTGGGTTACAATTTGAAAGTAAGAAACAAGAGTTCATAAAATTCACGGCTCGAGGGCTGGGGTAAGTTCTGAATTAGCTTGAATTGAGCACACCAATGTCCAAGTCACGCAAACAAACAACCGTCCGAACTGAAATAAAAATGTAACAAATTTGTACGGGATTTAGCCGATTATCAACGGATAAATTACTAGACAATGTAAGTTTCCCGCCTCTTGATGAAAATAATAGATTTGTACACTGACTTTTAACAAATCTTATAACCCTTTCTTGTCAAAAGTACATGTAAAGCAGTCAAGAGAGAACAGAATCATATTGTTGTATTTCGTTGATGAAAGTCGAGTTTTCAACTTTGTTATTAATAGGATTTGCTCTCACTTCACGATTTTCCGCCGGAACAAACAGTTCAAGTGTTAAATAAACTCTAAGAACATTTTTCAACTTTAGATTACTTACGTTCTAAGTGGCACTGGGCTATGTAAAGTGAAAGACGGCATGATATACACCACCGGGTCACATACACGGAACTGAATGTGATATTAACGGCCTCAAAAAGATTTCCAACAGCTTTTAACACTTGTCCCCTGTCATTTCTTACACTGCAGCTCACGTGGCGAACTTTGTATCGTGAGAAGGGTCAACCTGCTCTTTTAATCTGTACACGGAAAATAATCTCTTGATTGTTAATACGTAGTATAACTATTGAAGTTGACGACGATTGGAAGGTTTCGCATGAGGGCTTCTAATAGATCAATTTAGACATAAAAGGGGTTATGATTTGCATTAGATCAGTCAGACAGCTCACGACATCAATATGGGCTAAACACACAAAACAAAACAAAACAAAATCAGGTGTCGTGACCAGAAGAACACTTCTGAGCCTCTGAATGGTTAAGTCCTACCGACGAAATCTAAGTCGCGACGATCGCCATTGATAAAGCGACGATGCAAATTTCCCTTCCGGCGTTAACGGCCGCTGCCATTTTTCAGCAACGATCGCGACGATCGCATCGCCATTTCAATCAAGTTCAAGTTCAAGTGTACGTTCAAAGTTTTTGTATTGCTTATTTTCTTGAACCGTTGTCGTTGTGGTTGCCCTGAACTCGCTAGTAGCGTTACCTCACGGAAAAATGCTTAATATATAGATTTAGCCAGGGCTAAAAGCGAAGCTCCCATAATAGAGTACTAAAGTGTGACGTCATAAAAATGAAATTTCTGAAATTATGGGATTTGTCAGGATATTCTGAAAGAACAATGTCCAAGAGGCCTACTTGCCAAAAATGAGCATTTGGGGGCAAATTGTCTCTGAGATCGTAGCCCAGTTATGCTTACAAAACTCCGTACAAACCCTTCTAAATTTTTTTTGGGTCGACCCAAAAAAAAATTAGAAGGGTTTGTATGGAGTTTTCTGACTATAACTGGGCTACGATCTCAGAGACAATTTGCTGCGAAATGCTCATTTTTGGCAAGAAGGCCTTTTGGACATTACTCTATCAGAATATCCTGACAAATCCCATAATTTCAGAAATTTCATTTTTATGACGTCATCACTTCAGTACTCTATTTAATCAAACAATAAACTTTTATTCCACAAATCAGTTCACTTTAGAGCACATTCATGTGACTTTTGTTTTGAGGGATAAAGGCTAAGTGATTTGAGAGAAAAATAATTTGCTAACAGTCCAAGAGTGCACCAAACCTTACATCGAGTTGACGGCCTTATGTACACCCAAAATATAGCGATCATCTACGATCGCATTTAACGTCCATAATGGCTCTTGATCACAGTACATTAGGCCTGGAAAACAAATACTTGGAAAGCAAATCCGGCAGAATTTTTTCCGTTTGACAAGTTTGCTTTACAAAATCTTGCTAACAAATCTGGGGGCGTGTAAACCAACCTTTTTGTACTATGAGGCGCTGTTTTTATCATACAGACCTCAGACAGAATGCAGTATTTCACAGTTTTGAAATATAAATTACACTCATTCAATATTCAGGACGATCGAAGCACGCGTGGGCTTTTAGCGAAACCGCTAAAAAAAATTCTAAAATCACCTATATAACGGCCAGCCAGTTGCAAGCTGTGGAGTGTTTGAATGAACATTAATAGAGTTACACTTCAACATAATAAAGAATTTATTGTTTTTTTTTTATTTAATGGTTTTATAACACAAGCGTTTAAAACGCGCGACGTTTTGAGTACTCCTGCAACTGAAAACATTAACGGCAAATTGCAAGAGAGACTACTAACAATCAATAAAAGAAATATAATTCGGTGAAACATTTACACTGTAACAGAGACAACAATTTTCATTCACGAAGACAATTACGTATTAAAGTGTCTCTAAGAATCCTGAGTCTTTATGGTTAAAGCCTAAGTTTATGTTTTAAAGCCGGCTTCCCGGTGTTTGTTGTTTTCAAAGATGAACTCGAGGCGAGAAAATTGCTCAAAGCTTTCTTTCTACAGCCAAAATAAAAACGCAACGTTTTTTTCTTTCTATTTGCGGTGAGAAAATATCGACTAAAGACTTTTTAAAGTTCTGCAAGCTTAAATCAAACTTCATACTATAGGTAAGATGATTATCTCAAATCTTAATTCAAACATGCATAAACTATAGCCTCATAAACTGCGCTCGGCTTCATGAAATTAGATATATGAAAAAAACAAACACAAATACAATAATTACTCAGGCAGCTCCTGGAAGCTACATCGCTTCAGACTTTTCAATCAAGCAAGGTGAAAAACGAAAACGAATCGATGCCATCCGAAATCGGATTTCCGACTTTGACAGGCGACGTATTTCTCAACCAAAAACCCAATAGACAAACTAGCCATGAATAACAGAAGACTCTTGATAGTAGCTGAATTTCATTTCGTACATCCAGTAGAACAAGACAGTTAAAAACATCACAAGTTGACACAAAACTCTGTCAGCTTCAGCTGTCACAGTAAACAAGTTTCAAGATGCTGCATAAATTTTCCTCATGAACTCACCTGTCAAATTTTGACCAATCAGAGCATAAAAATTGGACGTAGAGCGTGACCAACGCGTTCACGGACAACTAAAAACAACAACTGGCAAAGCGATCATGTAAGAACGAGATCTTGACAAACAATCAAGACAAGAAATATAATACGAAGAACCATTTAAAGGTCAACAATTTTTATTCCCGAAGACGTGTTTTAGAGTAAAGCTGAGTCACGAATAGATTTAAATTAAGCCTTAAGTTTTAAGCCGCCTTCGCCGTGTTTGCTATTTTGCAAGATGAACTCCAGGCAAGAATATCGCTCAAAGTTTTCTTTAACAAACAATAGGATAACTAAACTATTTTTCAGAACTTTTTCTTCTAGTCGCGGTCAGAAAACGTCTAAAGACTTTTTAAGTTCTTTACTAGATCAGATAAATTGATTCAAACCTTACTAATGTGCGTAAAATGACGGCATAAACATGAAAAAAGAAAACACATAAAAAGCAATAAAATTACTCAAGCTTACCGGTCGAGATGCAGCACGGAAACCCATCAAGTAAGGCCAGAATCGCTTAAGATTTTTCGCAAGGTCCAGCAAGGCGAAGCAAGCTTACTAAGAGTAGCTTATTTTTGAAAACGATGATTCCCGATTTCTTTTTGTCGTGCGGCGGATTTCTCAACCACAACCCAGTAAACAAGCCAGCCAAGAATAACAAAAAAATGTTGATAGCTGCTGTATTTCATTTTGTAGATCCAGTGCAAAAAGACAGGTAAATACATCAAAAGATGACTCAAAACTCTGTCAGCTTCAGCTATCAGTGAACAAGTCGCAGATGCTGCATAAATTTTCCACTTGAATCCTCTTCGCTAGCGCGCCTGTTAATTCTTACTCTATGCCTTTCTCTTCTTCTCTTTCCCGTCGCTTTTCACTTACAAGCAAATAGTTCCAATCCAATC